TTGCATTGAACAGTGTTCCACATTTTACTCAACTTAAGAAAACTTAAAAATGCTTGAAATTAGGTAATTGTAACTATTTTTCCATTTAATTAAATGCTATATAATATTGAAGAAAGAGAAATGTGTATTAACACATTAAATATTTTCATTATTTAAAAGTTAATATTTGATATTTCATTTTTTCACACAATGTCCAAAAATTTAGGCTTTTTGAATCACTGTGAGATGTTTTGATCCTAATGCGGATTCTTTTCAATATCTTGATAAAATTTAAATAAAATTAAATATTGATAAATGAAATAATTACAAACTGAGCTTTAACAATTGTATTGTGTGACATGTAACCGTGTCTTATGTTGTAGTCATAATAAATTGTGATGTCGGAGCATATTCTCATAATAATTAATTGAGCTAATTATATTTAATTAGAACGAAATTAACAATAAATAAATAATAAATAATAAATAATATTTAAAACTTACATGATAAATGCAAAGACAAATCGCTCAGATAAAATTATCGTTATTATATGCTTTCGTTATTATATGCTTCATATTACTGACATATTTAAAAACGAAATCTTTAGACGTTGTGTTATTATTTACGAATGTTGCAGTTGATTTGGTTATTGGAGGCATGAAGAATAGGTGGAATTCGATATAAGGTAACACTTACATCTTATTGAATGAGTTTATCAATTGAAATTAGTTCTCAATTCTACGTTCTTCACGTTCAATGAAAAATTTTACAAACTTTTGAAGTACTATACCTATGGGATCATCTTTATTTCCCATAGCAGCAGACATAATCATGTGTAACTTAGAAATAAATTCTTTAAAATTACTATCTGTGTACCCTTTATTTTATATTAGATATGTCGATGACATCGCACTAGCTACCATATTAATCAAAATTACATTGAGTATTATTAAACACCTTCAATTACCATCTAAGAATTAAATTTACGATGTAGATGGGAGATACTCTTAATTTTTTGGACGTTACTCTAATTAAAGAGGATACTACTACACATATGATTGGTGTCAGAAACCTTCTTCTTCGGGACAATACTTGAATTTTAACTCTAGACACTTAGTAAAAACAAGGCATTATATTAGGATTAATTGACAGGATTTTACTTCTCTCTCACCCAAGGTACCATCAAAAGAATTTTGACAAGATATATATACACACACACACACACACACACACACACACACACACACACACACACACACACACACACACACACACTTCCACATACACGCACGCGCACGCGCGCGCGCGCGCACACACACACACACACACACACACACACACACACATTGTTTTGACTGTTCCTTCGTCTCGGATGTGAAGTAATGGATCCATGTTTCGTCCACAGTAATGAATCGACGCAGAAATTCATCTATATTACGTTGAAACATCTCCAAACATTGTTTTGAAATTGTCACACGGTCGCGCTTATGGTCCACAGTGAGTAAACGCGGCACCCATCTCGATAGCTTTTTCATACCCAATTATTCGTACAAAATTAAAATCACTGTGCTATGTGATATGCCTGTGGCCTCAACAAGCTCGCGCACTTTCATCAGTCAAAACAATATCGTGGATTTTATCGATGATTTCTGGCGTAGCAGCTTCAATTGGACGTCCTGAACGAGGTGCATACATTACGAGTGCATACATTACATATGGATGTACGACCACGTTTAAATTCATTCACCCAAATTGTATACAGTTGCAAACGTTGGTGCAGATGTGCTATGAACATTATTGAACTCGGCTTTGATTTCTTTCGGCGTTAAATCTTTCATATGTAGATGTTTGATCACTGCACGAAACTCGTTTTTTCCATTTTGCAAAAAATACAAAGATTATTCGCTTTAATCGTCTACGGAAATGAAACCACGCGATGAATTCCGCTCAAAATTTGACAGTAATCAACTGAAAGATGCTATTTGTCAAAAAGTAATGTGACATGACACTGCGAGTGCCTTCTGACAGATTTTATAAGAAGTTATTGACTTGCCCTCGTATATATAATATCCTTTTAAAAAATGATTACCCATTAAATTTCTACCTCCATTAAATCTTTACCACCATTAGCAGAAGGTTGCATAAAAAGTTCGAGTTATTAAATAGTAAATTAGTTAGTAATAGCAATAACAACACTAATATTAATGAAACAAAGAAACGAAGGTTTTTTTTACAATACCATTTCCTTATATCACTGAAAAAGTTCAATACTTCTTTAAGAAAAGCTTCTCACATAAACATGACATACAAAGGTATCAATAAATTAAAGAAATTCATCCGTGTTCAAAAAGATGAGCTCCCTGTTTTGTCACATTCAAATTTAGTGTATAGAATAAATTATAAAGATTGCAATGCGTCTTATGTGGGACCAACTAGTAGAATTTTAAAAACACGCATTAAGGAACATAGAAATCATTAACTGTAATACACAACAATCAGTTATTATTGCACATAGACTTGATTTTTCATATGAATTAGACTGGGAAAACATAAATATTTTAGTTGAAGAAGAATTTTTACACAAAAGATTGATTTTGTCAGAAATGATTTTCATAAAAAACAAGTTAATGATTTAAACATTAAAAATGACACGAAATCTCTCGACGCGGTTTATTCTAATTTGTTCACAAGGATTTGAGCTTTCTTCTCCTTACCAGTCTTGTTAACATATTATGTATTATTTAGTTCCGATTAGGTTGATCATATGAGAGCGAGAATCTACGCTTTCTTTGAGAGAATTTTCTTGTTTTTAAGTAGTAACATGAGAGCATGCAATAATTTCATCTGAGCGATCTGTCTTTGCGTTTATCATGTAAGTTTTAAATATTATTTATTATTTATTTATTGTTAATTTCATTCTAATAATTTTATATAGTTAACTCGGTAATTATTATGAGAATACGCTTGGACATCATAATTTATTATGACTACAACATAAGACACGGCAATATGTCGCACAATACGATTGTTAAAACTCAGTACAATAATTATATGATTTATCAATGTTTAATCTTATTATATTAGGTTAAGTAAAAAGTCATCGCGTATTTTTTAGCTTAGTTGTATATACAATATCTTCGTCAATAATGAATGAAATTCAAATTTAAAAAAAGGATTTTAAAGCTTGAAATCTAATTTTAAAAGCTTATCACATTTTTTAAGTTTATATGAGTTTGATAATTTTTACATACCAAAAACTACGAGCTGAAAAAGACGAAAAATTTTCTTCTCACTTTGTGGATTTGTAACGTGTCCAAAACGAATTTGAGAAAATTTTCGATTACCTATCGTGAAAGCTTGATACTTGCCCTACAAAATCGTTTTTTTAAATATTCCTACGACTTTTGATTACTAAGTTATCGCGGATTAAATAAAAGAATTATTTTGACTTTAATTGCTCATAACTCCATTAAAAATTGTCGTATCGTATAATTTAAAAAAGAGATTTTTAAAGCTGAAACTTTACTCTATTAAGATATATTTATATTGTTAATAAGAAAGTAATTGCGGTTTTTACTGATAGATGTCTTTTAAAAAAACGCGATGACTTTTTACTTAACCGAAATTATGTTATCAAGATATTGAAAAGGATCCGCAATAGAATCGAAACGAGGGTCATATTATATACTAATTGAATAAATCTTTTACATAATAAATCTTTTAGGCGAGTACCCTGTGTTTGACTCTCATAGACATAATATTTCACTGAATAAAAATGCATTCAGGATTGAAAAGCATTTATTTTATTTAGAAATACGTATTCACATTTGTGAATACATATTTCTGAAAATCTGAATCCATTTTAATCCATTCTCGTTTAAGGAAGTAATGAATTTTTATTACCCTGGATCTTCATTTAAACAACAGTGCTTTAACACCATACTGATTGGTGAAAAATCGGGAATAAATTTTTAGGAGTAAAATTTATCCTCATTATCCTCATTATTTTTCACCTGTTTTTATATTTCGTAATAATATTTTTAATGTCCACAAATATAGTGCGATTTTTAAAAAAATTTTTTGTTTTAATTTTTTGCTTCTAATGCCTCATACATGTGTGTGTGTGTACTCACATCACGCGTGATAGCATAATGCCTCGCACGTGTGTGCCTTTATCATACGTGATGGCAATATAACGGCGATCTTGCGTGCATAACGTGATGATCATTCGTAACGGCAGTGTTTGATTTGTAATAACTGTTTTATATGATCATATACTATTATCATATATTATCATATCGATTTTTTACGCTCGTACATGCCCCATCACGCATGGATTGCATTGTGCCATCATTATGCTCGCACGTGTGTGACCATCATATCATGAGGGCGATGTGATGGCGTTCTTGCACGCACAATCTGATATTCACGTGTGAGGGTTATATAAGTACTAAATGTTATCTGCGATATGCACGCGTGAGGGCAATATGATCTCGCACGAATTGTTATCTTGAATAATTTTCTTTTTCTCGTCTTAGCTTGTCTAATATGGACCGTATTTCGATATGTACTGCTAATACTGAAAATTTATAGTTTACGTTATGTATACTATAGATTTTCAGTACTGACAGTATATAGTATATCGGAACACGGCTATAGTTTTAAAGTTTTAAAGGCAGTACTTTTCATATCATGGTCATTTTTAATACTCTCGTTACAGTACAATACTTTTGCGATACTGACATAAGTCAATCGCGTTTCTCTTATATATCTAGAACTTTAAGTAGGTGTTTGTTAGTCTTAGAAATGTTTTATTTTTAAGTGCTTCTTTGGTTTTTAGTGAGAAAAGTTATAAAATTATACCATAATACAAATGATTAAGGAATTGGATCGAAATTATTACTAATCGAATTACTATTAAACGATAAATTACAAGAATAAATCCCTTTAATGCGAATTTTGATCACTTTCTCATGGATGGATAAAAGTATTACTATTATATTCAGCGGCCCAAAAAACGTAAAATTATATATTTAACTTTTGTTGCATTTTTGAAACAAAAATCATTTTACCATCCATCCTTTTTTGCAATGGATCCATAAGTAAGTATTTTTTTTTTATTAAGATTATTATAGATAAATATATATCCTACACTACTATATTTTGTATATTTTATTAAGTTGCAATATGATTTCATGGGATGGCCGAGTTGCATATAGTTGGACAAGTTTCATCCGCAAAAAATTTTAAACAATCACATCTACTCTGTAAATGGAATTTTTATGTTGGTAGGAGAAATAAGCCCATGTTTATTAGTTAATAGAAATAGAATTTGCCCTGTTGATAAATTTTATTATTATTGTAGGTAATGGTTGGAAAATCATATCAGGACATGAGGAAGGACAAACGCAAGAGAGCTGCGATTTTTATACTAATAATCCAGTTTGGGATCATCCGGTAGATTTACATTACACAACTCAGACTATACAAAATTCTCCTAAGTTACTATTACAAGTGTTTGGCAGAGATAATTATGGAAGGATAATATTTCTTTCATATGGAGTATATAATGTTCCAGTATCATCTGGTTCTTATGTTTTAGATTGTCATACATGGAAACCTATTGGTATATGCTGAATATACAAAATTTCATAATATACATTGTATTAACAAAATTTATTATTATTCTAATAAAAGTTTATTAAACTTTTATACAGGTACTTGGAAGGACAAATTATATGATAAATTTCTAGGAAATAGTTTACAATTAAAATCACCTAGTGTTTTAATAAACACATTAGATAGGTTTGAAATACTAACACAAAGCATGGGAACAGTAATCGTTCAGTTACATATCTTAACAAGAAATTTCGATAAATTTGGATGTCAGTTGTGAACAGATGATTATGAAAGCAATGGAAAGTGCATAAGCAATCTTCAATTAAAAAGTCTTAGCAGATCTAAGAAAAAGATCTAATTTCAAGCAAATATTTATGTTGATATAATGCATAAACAATATCAATTATTTACAATAATGTTTTTTCTTCCATTGTTACTATTAACATGTATTAATGTGGTAGAAGTAACGAAAATAGAAGATATATCAATCTGTATAAATGACACAGATTGCAAAGAGTCAATAAATTCAACCATATATACACAGATTCCTGAAATTGATAATTCATCTTTCAAGGACTTATCAAATGATACAGAAGAAGATAAAATATTTACTACTACCATTCCAACAGAAATAATATCTTCAAGAATAAATATCAACTCAACAGAACAACTAGAAGTACAGTCAACTTTCACAACAATATTCTCGCCAGTAATGCGTCCAAGTGATTATGAAATTCTTACATTCGAAAAAAAAGAAATTTGCGAATGTGACTTGATTGTACGTGCAAGTATTACATTTTTCATATAAAACATTGAAGGAATAAAATAAGGCCAACTTTTTCCTCGTGATGGAATCTAAACTATTTTTAAAAATCCTTCGTTAGATCTCAAGAAGTAAAAAAATAACTATCATTTATTCGAGAAGTGGTGAGAAAATTATGAGAATAGCGCAGTAAATTATTAGGTTTTAATATTGGTTTATACGTGGAAACTTAGAAACTAATCGGAACTTATTAGTTTATATATAAATATATCTTATATTTTACAAATATTCAGGAAGCATATATAAAATTGTAACGATGCACCTCTAAAAACTGCATCGTCCCTAGCAGAAAGTTCTCTAGCCGAATGCGTCGCACCCACCAATGGGATGCAACGATGAGGGCGCGATGCGCTCGCATATTTTTTAAACAAATCTAAAGATAATTTACAGGTGACAGCCGTTCCGCTGGTGATCTGTGAGTATACACGAATTCCGCCGAATTCCGTTTTCTTCCGCTCGTATTATTAACCGGCGGGAATCGTCGAGCGATTCCGGAACAATACGAGCGAGAACAACGTTCCTATTTCGTTATCTTTTAATTCAGAATCCTCCGGCCGTATAGAAAAGTGGTAGAGAGTATTTTGCCACTATCGAGCTTCTCGATCGCAATAATTTCTTTCGGATTTAATAGTTCATAGTACAATACCTTTTTGATATTACTAAATACACAACAATAACTTTGAACCGTAAATACTGTGCCTCGGAGTGAATGTTGCTGATTGATTTGAATCAATCCATGATTTTTTTCGTTTCGTAATTATCCAAAATAGATCCATTTTTCATCCCCAATAACAATTCAATACAAAAAAATCTTACTTTTTTGTCTGGCAACGAAATGCAAATGTTTAAGTTCGCAATGGGATTATCCGATAACTGATGTGGAATCCATTTTCCTTCTTTGTGAATCTTTTTCGTATCATGTAAACGTTTAGTATTGTAACTTTTGTAAGATCAATATTTAATTCTCTGGCAAGTTTTGAAGTGGATTGTACTAGATTTTCGTCCAATAATGTTTGCAAATCTGCATTTTTCAGCTTTTTTGGTTGTCCTGAGCGATCTTTGTCATTAACATTAAAATCATCACTTTTGTCTGAATCATCTGAATCGTCTGAATCGATATTCACATATCTTAATTGATGCAGCAACATAAGTTTCTGTCAGAATTCTATGATCTTCAACCGTTTTCTTCTGACTAAAAAACGAAACGCATGTCAAAAATGCTTCTTAGGAAGCTCCATTTTTTAAATGGTATAAACATTATTACATCTATTGTCAATAAATGACTAAATATCATGGAGTAATAGTATAGCATTAAGAAACGAGATAGCTGCGATTGAAATATCTTTAACAACACTGACATTAATGTGTGCCGTTTCTTGCAAAATCCTCAAAATCAAATCACACTCCTAATATTTTTGTATTTGGTATCGCGATGCTACCGCGTCGCTCAATAAAAAGTGCACGCGGAATATTTACGTTTAATCATTAAATGATATTTCTTAATATTATTAATTCTCAACCTATATTATAAAAGGATTAAATAAATATTAAATTTAACTAAAAAAAAATTAAGTAAAAACACAAAATAATTTATTAAAATGAAGAATGCAAAATATGTACTTTATTTTGGTTACACAGATGATTTCTTAAAATACAGAAGATTATTGATTTCTATGGTATAATCCAATATTAAAACCTAATAGCTTACTGCACTATTCTTATAACTTTCCCACTTCTCAGATAAATGAATTATTTTTATATTTCTTAAGACTTCACGAAAGATTTTTAAAGTTAGTTTAGGTTTCATCGCGAGATAGAATTTGATCTTACTTACTCCTTTGTTAATTAAAAGAAAGATTATTTTATATTTTAATTAGGGATGCACTGAGTTTTAAAATTACAGGAGATTTCAGATATCGAATATCCAAAAAGAATGTAACATTGAATATTCAATATTCCGTCGGATATACGGTAAAAAAAGAGAAAACAAGGAAAAAATAGCAATAACAATTAACCGGCTGTGGTACAAGAGTGTTTACAGTTTCTACACTGCTTGGTAGATAAACATTTATTTCTTATCTTACAGCTTCGAAATGAGTTTTTATATTAATCTTACATAAATTTTCTTGACATATACATTTACTATAATATAAATAAAGATATAGATATGGCTCTAAAGATAAATTTAATAAAAAAGGGAAAAATAGTCAATAGAGAGCTAACGCGGTTAACAGTATGTAAAATTTTATTATTTATTCTGACTTATTTATTCTTTACTGTAATAATTTTATACAAAATAGATATAATAATTTATTTTTCGTCCTATACAACGTACCATTTTAATCGATCATCTCAAACGTCTCTTTAACAGTACATTTAAGGGAAAAATGTTTCAGATAAAGATTTTGGGACTTTGAAGAGGACACAAAATGGTTTGATAGCGTTGTCGAGGTGAGAGCAAGGTACTTTTGCATTTTTTGAATGGAATCCCCTATTTTTTATTACATATTTTGTAGCTTATCTCGAGAGCTTTCTAAAACACTGTAATTAAGTTCATTTTTATTAAGTACTTTCCGAGTTATAACGCTTGAAAGTTACAACACCGCTGGCATTAACATTACCCAAGGTGATCGACGGCTAAAACCTCTTGAATGTTGTTCAGGATCATGACCTGGATAACATTTGTCAGAATCAAGATAATTGGAAATTGTTTCTCTTTTCATTTCTGCACTAAAAATTCATTTTAACGTAAAAATGAAAATAAGAGGTACAGTTTCCAATGGCCTCGATCTTGACAAATATTATCCAGATCATGATCTTGAACAACATTCAAAAGATTTTAGCCGTCGCATCGGTCGGATACCCTGAGTAATGCTAATACTGACGGTACTGTAATTTTCAAGCCTTATAACTCTCGAAGTACTTCATGAAAAAATATTTTATTATTTTTTTTTAAACTTTTAAGAGAACTACAAAAACGTGTAATGAAAAATAGGGAGTTCCATTCCGCTTAAAAAATTCATGACCTTGACCTGACCTTGACGACGCAACTTAAGATCAAACCAATGGTATCATTTTATGTCTCCCTCGAAGTCTCACACCTTTTGTCTAAAACATTTTTCTCTAAAATGCACTGTTCAAGAGATATTTGTAATTGAATGATCGATTAAAATGGGTCACATTGTATAACTATAACAGCTTCTACTCTTCTAGATTCTCTTCGGTTTGTTCTTTCTTCGCTTTTAAAATTGTCTTTCACGTGAAGCGAGTTTCACTTCATCTTTCAAGAGGCGTCCAATTTTCCCCGCGAGTTTCACCCCATCTTCCCCTCTTCCAAAGGGTGAAACTCACTTTGCGTGGAAAATCGGAAGCTTTTAGCAGAAGAGGAGATGTGATGAAATTCGCTTCGCGTAGAAAGTCGGATGCCCCTTAACAGGGAGAGAGTGTGATGAGACTTGCTTCGTGTAGAAAGTGAAATGCCTCTTGACAGGGAGGTGGAGTGAAATTCGCTTCACGTAAAAAGTCGTGCATCCTTAAACAGTGAGGGAGGTGGAGTGGATCTCGTTTTGCCGAAAGTCATGTGCCCCTAAACAATGAGGCAACATTTTCGAAATTCCATTCCATGCGATGTGTAAACGTTTTTTGTATTAAATCTTCGGTGAAAATCCATCATTTGACATCATTTGGAGTATTTCTACTAAAATTCATGGTAATCGAGTGTTTTCGGAAGTTCATCCGGCATAGCCTACAGTACTCTATTCACGTCAAAATTTATTGCGTAGTTTTTTATTTCCACATCTAAATCTTGCGAAAATTTTTTGAAGATTTATGTTCTTGTTTTCTTAAATATTATGGCGTATCTCTATCGTATATTGTCGTGTACTAGGCAGACAAGTCAAAGATATTTATCAACGTTTATTGCAGATGATTTGTACAGTTGTATCGTTGCTCGCTAGAAGACTCGACTTCTGTCGCACTACTAGAAGATTCGACTTCTATTTCGTATTGTTTTCTAAAAGATTCAGCTTTGCTCGCTATATCGCTGGCTTAATTAATTCTGAGAGAGGGGCACATGGAAGGTACCGTTTATATAGCTAGTCGCGACCAATCGTTGTATTCACGTTAGACTCGCGGATTGGTTGTATTATTTTTCACGGGATTAAGGGACACTGAACGCAGCTACCCGATTTTCACTTAATGTTTATATCAGTATTGTGTGCAGAGGGTAGGCCCATTGTTACAATAATTTGTGATATACAACATACTTCCCTCATTGAGAAGGTAACACTGATCAACTAGATTTCTATGTGACCTTGTTTACGTGGACAGAATTCGTAAGTTTAATATTTGCATGTCATTACTGTTCAATTGGAAGCGGACATAGAACTGATCGCTTTAACGTTCCCGCATTAGTTCTAATTGTAGCGGTTCGTACGATTCATCTTCATCGGGATGAATTTGTACGATTTTCCCTACAGTCATTGCATGCATGGTAGACCTTTTCCTTGAGGAGTACAGCTGTTTCGATGTTGATTCTTTCTCCGTCCTTAATCCATTTATGGCGAACTTGAAGCTCGTTAAAACATTCCAGGTTCTAACATGCCCAAAAATCTTGTCGCACCGCGGTGATGTGCTGCTAGATGGAGAGACGGTTTGCTACGACATGAGAGATCAGGCTTCGGTAGATTAATCAGTGATCGACTGATCAAACAATAAGCAGGTATTAGGGCTAAGGGATTATTAGAATCAGCCGACAGGATAGGTCTAGAATTTAATATTTCTTTGATTTCTACAACGAAAATATTTAATTCCTTAAATGTAAATAGGTATTCACCGATCACGCATTTGAAATAATGCTTAAGTAATTTCAGTGTGGATTCCTACAGTCCCTCGAAATATGGGATGATAGGAGGTATAAAATGCCAATTGATATGATGTTCAATTGCGAATCGATT